AAAAATTTTAACAATTTAGACTGTATGAAAGCTCCATTGGTGTGATCCCTATACCCCATCTTATGCACAATTCTTATCGCTCTTTTTTGTAATATATACAATGGTTGAAGTGAGCTTTTGTATGTATTTCCCCAGTTTTCAACACCATACTCTAAGTATGGTAGAATCAGTGAAAAATACAAAATGCGTAGTCCGATGACATTGCATTGTCATCGGACTTTGTGTTTGTTTAGACCACTGAATAAAAGTTCAAAAAAGTAAAATATGAGTGAAAAAGATGGTTAGAACTTTGCAAGTGAACTTACCATGTCAGGTTCAGTTGGAAGCAAAATCGGGGGGGGTGTCCAGGTGCCTGAGGCAAAATAGCAACTCACCAGATAAGTTATAATGCTGCTATGAGGAAAATATTATCGGTAATTAGCTAAAATGATAATTATTACATTAATTTAACAGTATTGGTGCCAACTCACATTCACTTCCCGTCTTTGGGGTTCCAGTGACAACACTGGGAAAAAAGTAATATTTCATATTAATTTAATTAGTAGATCTGAACATTTTTAACAGAGGTCTTAATACTATAGCTCCTCTGATGCTGTAATTGTCAAAAAAAAAAATACTGACAATTATTATTTGCCACTTTTTACCATTAACAGACAAGAAATGCTGACCATGAACATATTTACATTTATTTAAACATATTTACATTTAAAGGAGTATTGTAAAGGAACTGACACATACACACACAGAAGAAACACATTTACCACAAAATTTAAGGACGTACCCTTCAGTTTGAGCCTGCTCAGCTACTCTCTGGAAATAAAAAAACAAGATTATCAGCTACCACAGATTTAAACTGATGACAGGCAAAAGAACAATCGTGCATTATGAAAATGTTATTATAAAGTAGACTTGTGGATGCTTTGCTTGTTACCACACTCACTCGAGCCACCATCTCCAGGTGCTCCTGAGAGCTGCTGAAGTTCTGGGCCAGGTTGTCCATGCACAGGTTTTCATGCTGGCAGGTGTAAACCCAGGCTCTGTACTCCTCCGAGTTTGGGACCCTGTCCAGGAAGATCCTAAATGCTTCCCAAACAGCTTCCTGACAAACTGAAGGATCAAATACCTGAAGATGAAGTGGACTGCTGGTATTGTTCTTGTCATCTCTGCATGTGGGGAGTTTGCCATGTTTTGTAGATTAGATTTGCTTTTTATTTCACGCCGGGAAAAAAAAAACTACATTGTATAATGCCAAAATGTTGCAATAAATCACTAGATGTATGCAACATGATATAACTGGGGCAGCACATAACGGTAGCAATGCCTGTAAATGTCAAACTGTGTTTTTAAGACATGTTCCATGACATTGACATTTTTGTGAATATGAAAATCATGATCATAAAGAACCCCCTGAAGCTAGTGTATATTTTATCTGCTTCTGTGCAGGAAACAAGCTTTGCATTGTCCAATATCCTGATGCCTGTGGGAAATTTATTCTCCGACAAACTCATTTCTGCTGCGCTGTGATTACCACCAGTACACCAGATTAATCTGTCTCATAAAATCATAGGCCACAGCAGCTGTTGTGGAACGATTTGTGTTACCAACCAATTGTAACAGCCAAGGTGGCAGCCTTACCCTTTTAAATCATCCATGATCCCATCTCTCTTGGACAAAATACATTTGCATATAACCTTATCTAATCAAGTAGTTCTTTGTGTGTATCAAGTCAGTATTATTGCACAGCTTGAGTGCATCATTCAGTGGCATCATGCCATCGTTTCCAGGCTCTAAACAATGAAAACAAATACTAGTGACTATCTACATAGGATTTAGGTATCAGACATAGCTCAGCAGACCTATGTATAATGTGTAATCCTTTCAAACTAAAACTTCCAATGATAAAAATACCCAACTCACAGTGGGTATGGAAAGTATTCAGACCCCCTTAAATTTTTCACTCTTTGTTATATTGCAGCCATATGCTAAAATCATTTAAGTTCATTTTTTCCTCATTAATGTACACACAGCACCCCATATTGACAGAAAAACACTGAATTTTTGACATTTTTGCAGATTTATTAAAAAAGAAAAACTGAAATATCACATGGTCATAAGTATTCAGACCCTTTGCTGTGACACTCATATATTTAACTTAGGTGCTGTCCATTTCTTCTGATCATCCCTCAGATGGTTCTACACCTTCATTTGAGTCCAGCGGTGTTTGATTATACTGATTGGACGTGATTAGGAAAAGCCACACACCTGTCTATATAAGACCCTACAGCTCACACTGCATGTCAGAGCAAATGAGAATCATGAAGTCAAAGGAACTGCCTGAAGAGCTCAGAGACACAATTGTGGCAAGGCACAGATCTGGCCAAGGTTACAAAAAAAATGTCTGCTGCACTTAAGGTTCCTAAGAGCACAGTGACCTCCATAATCCTTAAATGGAAGACGTTTGGGACGACCAGAACCCTTCCTAGAGCTGGCCGTCCGACCAAACTGAGCTATCGGGGGAGAAGAGCCTTGGTGAGAGAGGTACAGAAGAACCCAAAGATGACTGTGGCTGAGCTCCAGAGATGCAGTCGGGAGATGGGAGAAAGTTGGAAAAAGTCACCCATCACTGCAGCCCTCCACCAGGCGGGGCTTTAGGGCAGAGTGCCCCGACAGAAGCCTCATTCTGCTTTTACAGTTTTAGAAAACAATAAATCTTTCCATCATTTACATTATAAGCTCACATCCAAGTCTAACAGTGGTCATCTCCTTTTACCTCTGAGTTTGTAATAGTCCCGATGGCTGCCTATGACCGCTTGCATTGTCTCCTGGGGACACAC